TAGAATCTATTCTACTAACCTTACTCTTACATCTTACTCAAATAAAAGATGTTTTTATACAAAAAGAGACAAACAGAAATTATCATTGTTGAATAGCATTTTGGGGGAGGGGTCTTTCTGAGACAGGGTCTCGCTACACAATTCAAGCTGGCCCTGGCCTCACTTGGTAGCTCATGTTAGTCTCAAACTTGCAATGATCCTCCAGCCTCAGCCTCCCAGGTGCTGGGATTACAGGTATGAACCACCATACCCAGATTAAATAGCAAACTTTGAAGGAATTTTTGAACTACAACATTCCAGAGAAAGAATAAACATTATGTTAAAAAAATAAAAATAAACATTGTTACTTCTAGCATATTTTATCAGTACTATATACATTAGCAAGCCAATATTCTCCTGCCACCTACAGTAGAAAAACAGAATTACAAATACTTTAGACCTAAATGTATACCGTATCAAAAAAATCAAATGTTATTAGTCTCTTCTATTTATATTCTCTACACATTTTAAGAACAAGTGTTTTGTTTTGTCATTTTGAGACAGAGTCTCACTATGCAGCAGCTCAGGCTCATCTTGAATTCACTTTGTAGCCCATGTTGGCCTCGAACTCATAGTGATCCTGCTGGATCAACCTCCCAAGTGGTGGGACAGACATGCACCATGCTTGGCTGTATTGAGATTTATGTTATGGACTATATGAACACCTCATTGCTGTGAAAAAGCTAGAATTTTTTTTTATATTGGGCATTTTTGTCTTTTGAAGAAGTTTTGTAAAAACTATGATATAAAAAGACGTTACTGTATAGCATAATTTTTTAAACATGTTACTGGAATCTCTTTTTACAGAAAGAAAAATGGATAATAGAGTATTGTTATTCTGATATTTTAGACTCAACTTGAGAATGAATTTAACTTTTATACACTTTAGGCAGCATATACGATATTATTAAGACATCAATTTGAATATAAAATAATAGCTATAAAACATCTTTTCTTACCGGGCATGGTGGCACAGAACTGAGAAAAAAAGTGTATCAATTCATAGCAGATAAAGACTTTTTATTAAAAATTTTTATACTAGAAAATTCCAGACAGGATGTACAAAATCACCAACAGAGGGCAGTAATGAGTAAAGAATTAAAAATGAATAAAAGGTGACCTATCCTCATGTTAAGAACTGTCTCTAGAATTCTAATAAACTAGAATTTAGATATAACCACAAGTTTAAAAAGCAAAAGCAAGTAAATGGTAAATATGAAAACTCAGACCTACAAAAAGTTATAATTATAAACGTGAGCAAAAAAAAATAGATTAAAATGGTAGTGTACTGTACTTATACAGGATGTCATTTCCCTAAGACACTGCTCCTAACTCCTGATTTTACGCTCTTAGAGTGCTTCCTAAAAACAAAAACTAGAAGTGAATGGTCTGCTTCATATACATATAAGCAGATGAAATGTTTGCCCTTTTATGATTCATAGAAAAAGCTAGAAAAAAGGCATAGCCAAGTTAGGTAGGGAGCTCCATTCTAAACAGAAAGTGAAGATCAGTACAAACACCAGGAATCAGTGCATAGTACCTAGGCACATCATGAAAGAGAGGGAAAAGCTGCAACCCAGTGGGCACTTGAACCTCAACTATAACCTCTGAAACATATTCCCAGGCAGCTGACAAGGAGACTGTTCACAGGACTGGAGTTTGGCTTAGTGGTAGCAGAGTGTTCACCTGGAATATGAGGCTCTTGATTCAACCTCCAGCACCATTTAAAAAAGAAAAAAAAGAGCGCCTGCCTTGCAAGCAGGCAGTCGTGAGTTCGATCCCCGGTACCGATAAAAAGGAAAAAGACAAAAAAAAAAGAAAAAGAAAAAAAGGCTATTACAAAATGTGCTATAGCCCCTGCTGGTGATTACACTTCCTTTCCTTTCTTTCCTCCTACTCCTGTTAGCTCTATTCATTTTTTATTTCTTCACAGATCATGATTTTCCATAGATGATTTAAAGATAGGAACTCTGCTGTCAGCTGTCATCTATTTGTAAATATCCGTACTCTGTGGAAATAAAGGTAGTTTCATTTTTTTCTTGCCCCTTCCACCAATCTCTCAGTATCCCCACACTATGATCAAATTAACTATTTACCATTTCCTAAACATGCTCTGCATTTTCCCGCCCATTTCTGCTATTTTCTTACCCTAAAATGTCCCCACATGGCTTACCCTAATCTCAGCCTAAAATACTCACTTTCTTTAAGAACAATAAAATAGGGCTGGGGATTTTGCTTAGCGGCATAAGCACCTGCCTTGCAGGCCCATGGTCCTGACTTCAATCCCCAGTATCCAAAAAAAAAAAAAACAAACAAACAGTAAAATGATATCTTGAAGGCGCCTGAGAAAGAATTCATTATCACTTTGCTTATTCACACTTCTTTTTACAAATACTATAGCTTTTTTTTTTTTTTGAGACAGGATCTCACTTTGTAGTATAGGCTGGCCTTAAACTTACTATATAGTGCAGGTCAGTCTCAAACTCACATTAATCTTGCCTCAGCCTTCTGAGTGCTAGGATTATAGGCCTGTGCTACCAACCCAGCTTCAAATACTACAGCATTCTTGCATCATATTTATTTGTGCATGTTCCCTCTTATTGCAGATGGGCATTCTATCCCTGCCCAAAGGTTTTTTGTTTAAAAATAATATTTTGTTACAAGTATAGTGCCATATATCTGTAGGCTCAGCACTTTGGAAGCTGAAGCAGAAGGATCATGAATTAGAAGTCAGTTTAGCCTACCAGTAAATTCAAGGTCAGCCTGGACTAAGTAGAACAGTTTATGTACAGACAATATAAACAATATCTTAGGGTATGTGCCTGGAGAGAAAAAAAACTAAAAATCATGTCTGCTTTGTTTCCCTAAAAACATTAATCCGTGGCATTATTTATAAGGTAAATAGAGATCAAAACAGATGTCACAGCCAGGTAGGGTAGCACCCTGTACTACATGGTGAGACTCTGACTCAAAAAAATAAAAATAGGGCTGGGGATTTAGCTCAGCGGCATAAGCGCCTGCCTTGCAAGCAGGCAGTTGTGAGTTCAATCCCTGGTACCGATAAAAAGGGAAAAGACCAAAAAATAAATAAAAATAAAAATAGGGGCCAGGGGTTTAGCTCAGCAGCACAAGCACCTGCCTGGCAAGCAGGATGTCATGAGTTTGATCCTCAGTACCAAAAAATAAAAAATAAAAACAGATGTCATCTTTAACCTACCATTTCAGCCCCAAGTCAAACAATCAAAGGCTTTTTTCCTTGGTCCTGCAAACCAAATAGCTGTACAAACCCTGTGCTACTAGGCATAGGCAAATGTCAACACTCAGAAAGCCTGCCAGCTTCGCAACCCAGAACCACTCAGAAAGAGTAAGCATCCTGAATATTACTCAGCATTGCACTTTAAGGAAAACAATGGAGAAAATTTTCAGCCATTCTCTTCTCTGAGTATCTCACAAGTTTTATCTCATAATAAGATAGAGATCAAAATATGGTCTACCTAGAAAAGAATAACAGTCCTAATCTTTGGAGATTCTAAGACATTATCTACAAATATGCTGTTCTTCTTGCACTGTTATTCCTTACCCTCATCCCCTGAGCCTAGCAAATACCTCAAAAAACCCTGTAAAATACCAAATTTTCTAAACACTCTCCAGTTACTTAAGAGTAAGCTTTGATAGAGAAAGCTTTCAATAGTGATTTATGATATCAACTAAAATTATTTAGAATGTGTATGATCATACCTATGACTACTTACATTTCTAGGAAATAATCCATTTACTTTTTGTGAAGTAGTTGCTTTATTGTTTTTGTTTCCTGAATTCAAATCCTTTAAATAGAAGCAGTTAAAAAAAACCACACAAAACAAGGACTAAGGGTGTAGCTCAATTGATATAGCACATGCATGTGCAAAGCCCTGGGTTCAAATTCCCAACACCAAAAGTAATATTACAAAACTTCCCTTTAAAAATACAAACAAACAAACAAGATATATATATATATATATATATATATATATATATATATATATCTCACACATACATAGGCAGCAAGGCTGGTATGGTGGCACACAACTGTGATCCCAGAATTTAGGACTGAGTTTAAGGCAAGCATGATCGGTGGCTATTTGAACTCCCTGAAACTTTTTCCTAATCCTTAATGTGGAGCTCTTTTTTGCAAGAAACAAATAAAAGGACACGTAAAATAGCTAGTACATTTCCAATAGACAGGAAGCCAATAAAAATCACTATTTTTACAATCTATTTCTAGCGTACAGTTTGGCACTACTGTATTCCTATGACCAATTCTCCCTTTAAACCAGAGTTCTCCAGTACCACGGTGAAAACGTACATGTAACTATGGAACATCTGAAATACAGTTACTTCTAAATGATGTGTGATTTAAGGGGAAATTACACTCGATTTCAGAAATTTAGTGAAATAATAAAAGCTTAATACTGTGTATAATTAAATGTGAAGTGACAACACTTTGAATAACTTAAGTAAACATTAAAATTCATTTCACCAGGATCAGAACGGCCTGATCTATAGTTTAACTTCCATCTATTAAATATTATCTCTTAACCCTACAGTCGACTGCTTAACCTGTGTTCACTCTAATATACCACTTATCCCAGCAAACACAGCGCTCAACTTCCACCACTCAGGAAAGCTGGCGGACGACCTACTGCTCTGCTCACTACGCTCCTAACTGTAAAGGAAACTGGAAATTGCTACCTACACAACAGACAGGAAAGATGTCTTTTTGAAGGGATCAAAAGTGTTGGACAACGCTGGCGACGGTAGATCTTCTGCAGAAAACAGAGGGAGTTCCTCACACGTAAAGGAGGGGAATGTGGAGGCCGCGGAATAGCAGTTTGAGAAGGAAAGCCTCGGAGTGGGTGGAGGGGGAAAGTCAGAGCTGGCGAGAAGGGTCTGGGCTCAGCGCCCTCAGGGTAGAGCAGTACCTTAAGAATCCCCTTCATTTTCGCCAGAAAAGGGCGAAACTCCTCGGGCGACACCTCTGGATAAAGCTGGCTCCGCAGCAGCTCCTCGGTGATGCCTGGGTGCCCATGGAAAGCGTCCTGGGCCAGGCCGCTCAGCAACCCGCTCAAGCACTTGCTGCCCTCAAGTTCACCCGCCATGGTCTGCTAAGGGCCCGCCCCCCAACAACTGAGCGCGGCCGCGCCACGGCGGCCGAGAGGAGTCAAAATAGTCGGGGCAGACAAGCGAAGAACGCGAAAAGGGAATTGTTCCAGGGTGGGTGTAAATAGGTCCCAGCGTTGCTCTTCTAAGGCCACTACGGGTATATCCCTCTCGGTTCCAATTAGGATAACATTGCTTCCCCGGTTTTCTTCACCACTCCAAAACTTATTCAAAGGAAACTTCGTTTGATGGCGATCACTTGAGATGGGGTAGCATCCTGTAACAGTGCCAGTTTAATTTTGGGATGGTTATGTCTCATGCCAGGACTTAACCACACATTAACTGAATAGGATCTACCACTCAAATCTAATCACTGCCTACTCCTTATTTGTTGATCCTTTATCTAAAAATGTTTAATTCCTCACAACATAACTCGTTTGCTTACCTTCTCTTTCATTGTCCCACTCCCTCATTCCCATACTGAGAACTGGACTCAGGGTAACTCTACCACTGAACTGAATCTCTAGCTTTTTTTGCAGTAGTACAGGGTATTATGCTTTGCGTCTAGATGCCCTTCCAGAGCCCCATGCAATCATGTGGGGCAGGCTTTTCAGAGGTGCCTAATCTAGAATTTGTGATTGATTCATGGGCCAATGGTGGGATTAAGAATGTGAGTGATTGCCAGGCGTGGTGGCTCACGCCTGTAATCCCAGCACTCGAGAGGATCGTTGCAAGTTCGAGACCAGCCTGGGCTACAAAGTGAGCTCAAGGCCAGTTGAACTGCATAACGAGACCCTTTCTCAAAACAGACAAAAAAAAAAAAAAAAAAAAAAGAATGTGAGCCATAAACACCCTACGGCCACTAGCCTACACATGATTTAAGGGATGGAAAGAGTCATGGTTTTCACTTGTTGCTTTTGTCGTTTTCTATCACCATGAACAATTGCCTCTCTGCCATGTGCCACTCTGTCTTGGAGCCAGTTGATTAAGGACTGAAGCCTCTACAAACTGTAAGCTAGATAAACCTTTCCTCCCTTAACTTGTGGGTGTCAGTATTGTGTCACACAATGACAAAAATAACTAAGACACTGGGGACAGATAAAACTCTTAAAGACATTGGTGCAGGCAAAGACGTTATGAACGAAACCCTGATTGCACCAGAACTGTCACAAAAAATCAACAACTGGTATCTTATCTTATTAAAAAGCTTTTGCCCAGTAAAAGAAATCACCAATGGAGTGAAAAGGCAACCCAGAGTGGGAAAAAATGTTGCCAACAGTTCCCCAGAAAAAAGACAACATATCTAGAACATATAAAGAACTGAAAAAACTCAGATCCCACAAATTTAAAACCCAATCCAAAAGTGTATCTAAAATGAATATATACTTCTCAGATGAAGAAAGATGAATGGCAAATAAATATATGAAAAAATGTTCAGCATCATTGGTCATTCGAGAGATACAAATTAAAACACAGATTCTATCTCACTCCAGAAAGAATGGTTGTCATCAAGAAATTAACCAATAAAAAATGCTGGCTGGGCTGTGAGCAAAAACACCCCGTCTTCATTGTTGGTAGGTGCGCACACTGGTGTAACTGCTGAGGAAATCAGTATAGAGATTCCTCAAAAACCTAGGATTAAAAAAAATACCTAGGATTAGAGGGCCTATGTAACCCAGCTATTCATCTTCTGGGTATCTTCTCAGAAAAATTAAAAACATCACAGTACAGTGATATATGTGCATCCATGTTTATAGCTACACAATTTGTAATAGCTAAATTTTGGAAACAACCCAAATGCCATCAATCAAGGAATGGACCAAAACAAGATGTACATTTTTTAATATAATGGAGTACTACTTAGCTATAGAGAAGGATAATCTTGAAACTGTTATAAGTAAATGGATGCAACTTGAGACCATACTCATTAGTGAAATAAGACACACATGTGTAAACACTGTATTGTTTCACTAGTGTGAGAAACTGAAAGAGAAAACATATGTATATGTGTATGTATATGTATATAGAGAAAAGTTAAGAGTAAAAATACTGAAAGAGTAAATAAGATCCAAAATGTACAACAGATATTCTGAAATAGGAATAAACTTTTCAAAAGAAAAGAGAAACTGGGATGGGTAAAGGAGAAAATAAGGAAGGAAATGGAATATATATATATATATATATACACACACACAAGATATTTAAGATAGTTAATGAAATAATTTCTATTAATTCATTTTAAAAAAAGATTTGTGTATATATTGTTTTGCTGAGGACCAGCTTGATGCCCTACAAGCAAGCAATAATATTAATAAATTACCATAAAAATAAATTGAGAGTCTGTCCTAAGCCTGCGCGTCTTGCGTCAAGGTTCACAGCTGGCTTAGGGACACATTAATCTTTAAATCAATGGCCAGCAAACAGCCATGAAGTTCCAGCACCCCCAAAGTAGCTGCCCCAATGGCAGCTAAGGACTTTGACTCATGCAAATTCTGTGGAGCTCAGTAATCTAATTAGCAGACAATCAAGTTACCAGTTAACCATGATCTGTTCCTGTGTGATTATCCAAAAATGCATGTTTCTGTGGTTGAACCTTGACCACATCAGCAGTTCACTCTCATCACTTTCTGCAGCTCACCAGCACACCCTCCAAGCAAGCTGTGCACCTAAAAGCCAAAAGACACGATGCCTCATGGTCTTAGCCTGTTGCTGGGCTTTGACCATCTTAGTGCTCCTTGTGAGTAAAATACAGGTTTTGTTTGTGTTTTATTCTGTCATTGTACCTCTGAGCAGGAGATTGGTGGTTCTAGTCCTGGATCCCAGTATTGTTCGATCAATTTTTCATGCCTATATCTTGTAATCTGAACACCTACTTTGAAGATAACAATACAGAATACATTAACCATCGTTACACTACTTTTTTTGAAATTTTGTATTAATGTTATTATTTTTCTGTAGCCTGGATGAAATATAAGGGAGAGAAACAGGGTTGCAGTGATCACTTGCTGCTGCTGCTTCTGTTTATCCTCCCTGCCTCCTGCCTGCTCTGCGATTGTCAGCTGATTATGGAGGCCCGCTCCTCTGCAAACTGCGGTAAATAAACGTTTCCTCTTTAAGTGTTGGGTATTTTTATCAGAATCTGGTAAACCCCTCAGCCTCAAATACTTTCTCTCCAAAATGCAAGCACAGATCAAAAGTAGCCTACAATTTCTATAGGTTATTTCTCTAAAGTCTTTCTTTTTGTAAACCTTGGTTTTCCATTGCTCCTAAAAACCCCTTCTAAGTACTCCCAGTTCTTAAAAACTTTACAAAAAATAATTACTTTTTTTTTCTTTTTTGGTGCTGAAGATTGAACCCAAGGGCTTTGTCATGCTAGCCAAGTGCCTTACCACTGAGCTACACCCTCAGCCTGAGATTACTTTTTTAGAAGCAAAGTGACATACTATAAATGTAGAACGTAAGCTCCTGCCTGGCAACTGCAAGGTTCTGAGTTCGATTCCCAGTACCAAATCTACATGTAGAAGAGGCAAAGTTTTATTTCTACTCTTTTAAGTTTCTTCACTGGGGCCTCAGAAAGTGATATAAGACAGATTAACACAAAAATAAGTATGCACATGTAATGTAAATTTTGTGATATAGGAGCCCTCATAAAGAAATTAAAGCCCAAAAAAGTAGCAAAACCTAATTTTTTTATTAAAAAGAAGCAACTGTGGAAAAGTAAACTATTTAAAGAGAATTAAGAAAGTATTTTAACAAGATATGTGTACGTAGAATGTTCTGTGTCTGAATTTCCCATTCTTGATGAGAATCTTTCCTTCTGGTATAGGGAGGATATCTTTCAGTTGTTTTGTTTTTTGCTTTGTTTTGTTGCTATGTAGTTCATGCTGGCTTTGAACTCAACAGGTAACCTAGGCTGGTCTCCAACTCACAGTGATCCTCCTACCTCAGTCTTCCTCCAGAGTGCTGGGATGATAGATGTGAGCCACCACACCCTGTATGAAGAGGACATCTTTTTTTTTTTTCTTTTGTCTTTTTTGAGACAGGGTCTCTATGCAGTTCAGGCTGGCCTTGAGCTCACTTTGTAGACCAGGTTGGTCTTGAACTCCCAAGGATCCTCCTGCCTCAGCCTCCCGAGTGCTGGGATTACAGGCGTGAGCCACCACGCCCAGCTAGCAAAGATGACATCTTTTATATCATGGTTTTCTACTTTAAGAAAAAAGTGGGGAGTCTAAGCACCCTTCTAGCACCTGCTTTTGGCTCAAAAACAATCTTTATGCTAAAGTGGCATGTTTGAGGATGGCATAATCTGTCACAACACTGGGCATGTTACTGCCTAACTAGCGGACAGCAAGTTCCAAAAAACCAGGTTGGCCATAAAAGCAATTCACTCTTATGCCACCAGGGGCTGCTATTGCCAATGCTTATGTTAAAGGTTGGTCCTCTACCAACCTGCACTTTTAAAATACCTTTCAAACAAAAGGATCATGGTACAAACTATTTATTTTGTTAACTTTCAAAACACAAAGCTTTGTAGATAATAAACTTGGGCACAGAGCTATTAATAAAGCCTCCAACGATTATTACAATGCCAAAACAAGATAAAGATCCTGAAACTTTAACACAAAGGGAAACAAAACAGCTGCCCTCTGTAAACAGGTTTCTTTCTGGACAACAAATAGGTTTCCATTCTAAATCCCATTAAACAACTAGTCGCAGGCAGGCAATAAGTGTTTTTATAAACACTGATATAAAGTGTGAAGTTAGGCTGGGGGTTTAGCTCAGCAGTGTGTCTACTTTGCAAATGCAAGGTCATGAGTTCAATCCCCAGTACCATAAAATAAAATGTGAACTTAAATAGTGCACAAGGGCCCCACAGTTTCACAATACACACTCCCTGCTGTGTTATCTCCACCTTTTCCAATTCTGTCTCTCTCCACCCAACCAGTCTGCTAGGTTCTAGGACATACAGATAGAGGTGAATTCTGTAAAATCTTGTAATCTGGTAAGGGAAAATAATACATAAATGCAT